AATTGTTCCCCACCCCAAGCAGAATGGGCAGTTCGAGAGGAGCTGTATTGGAGAGGGGAGATGGGGGGGGGGGGGGGGGGGGGGGGAACTCCACAATTAGACCATGGCCTCAGGCAAGGAGCGCGACAAGTCGGCGGAGTACGCACCTCGGGGGCCGAGTACGCCGCAGTCATGCCGTCGATGAGGGAGTCATTGAGCAGGGCACTTGAGCGGGTGATCGGCCGCGCCACACCGAAATCTCCCAGCACCGCCACCCAAGCCCCTGGACGGGTGGTGCCTTGGTCGGGCCCGGCACGTCGGGGGGCCGCCGGGTCCCCGGCCCGCAAGGTGCTCGGACGGACATAGTGCGGGTCATAGTCGAGGAAGACATTGGCTGGCTTGACATCACAGTGGGCGATTTGGTTGTCGTGCGCATGGCGCAGGGCCATGGCTGTGGTGAGGCAGGCGGAAAGGGGGGGGGGAGCGGCGGAGGGGCGGCGTGGAAGCCGGGGAACCGGCGTGCACGTGGGTGGGACAACAAACCAGAGATCCAGGCACCAGGCAACGGTCAGACATGGGGCCCCGGTGCAGAGAAAAAAAGCGGGAGGGGGGGGGAAGAAAGATGGCTGCCAAAACATGAACAACGGACCAAGCTGCTCCAGGATGATGGACAGGTGGCGGAAGGAGGCACGCGGCATGGGGACCTGGCCCTCGACCGGCGGCTCGGAGGAAGCATCATCACCAAACGCCTCGCCATTGGCATGGGTGCTGGCGGCCGCATCGGCCAGGAAGGCCGCCAGATCGGTGGTGTAGCGCTGCAGGAAGATGACATACGGCCGCTCGCTGTAGCCGATGATGTTGGCAATGTGCGCCGCACCGGGCCCTTGGGACTCGGCCAGGGCCCACATGACGGACACCTCCTGCAGGAACATGTCGCGCTTTTGCTGCAGCGCCTTGCCATCGTCCGGCAGGTGGGTCTTTCGCAAGGTCGAGATGCAGGATACCTTGGCGACGGCGGTGTTGCTGCCGGCGCGCTCGGCCATGCGCGGGCACAGGAGCGTCACCGGCAGCACACTAGCCTGGGTGCCCTCGCCGAGCGGGACCGGCATCGAGGTGTTGCTCCAGTCGGTGGACGTGTTCAGGGAGTTGGTCGAGTCGAAGGAGGGCAGTGACAGCAGGGGCGGCGACAGACGCTCCGCCTCCATGGCATTCACCACCCGCGGCGTGAGACCGGAGGAGGGCCCTGGCCGCAGGATCGGCGTCAGGGTCGGCAGGCCGGTGCTCAATGGGTCACTCGAATCCGGATCCGAGCCAGACGACCCCGAGTGCATGGAGGAGGTAGGCGACCGGGTGAGCGAGGAGTGCGAGCTGGACTCGATGAAGTAACCCTTGCCGCTCTTGCTAGGGCCGAAGCCCGGGCGCAAGATTCGCCGGATGTCCGATGTATCGACCGCGAGCGCGAAGTCCACGCGCAGAATGCCCGGCAAAGCAAGGGCTTGGGGGGGGGGGGGGGGGGGGGGGGGAAATAAGCCGGAGGTGAGTTGGGACCATCGCGCGATCGCGGCCGGGGCGGGGCCACAAAAAAAAGCACACCGCAGGGAGTCAAGGGGAGTGCGGCAGGGGGCGAGCGAATGGATGAATGATCGAAAGCCGACCAGGGCCGCCGTACCAGGAAGCGTATTCATGATGGTCATGTCTTCGGGATTGACCCCCTCGACGGATTTGTCTGAAAGGAAAAAGGGTCAGCCACGGGGCCAAGGGGGAAAGGCAGGAGGATGGGGGGGGGGGGGGAGGGAGAAAGGGCCAGCGAGAGGGAAAGAAAGTGAGCGAGGCAGGCAGCCGCCCCACATGGACCACCTATTCGGCTGGGTGGAATTTCACCGTGGCCCATTGAACGCACCATCCTGCGACATGTCCCCTTCCGGGCCCTCAATGCGATCCATGACCAGAATGGTCTCGGAAATGTGCGTCGGGTAGCCGACCCCGAAGAAGGCCGCCCGCAGCGAGGCCTTCTGCTTGCTTTCCGAGGCAGCCTTCAGCCGGTGATAGCGCCAGCAGCCGAAGAACAGCCAGAAGCTAAATAGCGTGGCCAGGATCAAGGCAAAGCCAACGCCCATGACTACCCACAGGAGGATGACATCTTTTGGACCACACATGTCCCACGGGAACCGAGCGAAAGAGAGATAGGGAGAGAGAGAGAGAGAGAGAGAGAGAGAGAGAGGCGCAGAAGTAACGAAATGCCCAGGGAGGGGAGGGTAGGAGGAAAAAGAGTCAGGACCAAGGCCAAGCACCGGCAAGGGCACAGGGGACGGCCCCCGAGGGACACACGCACCCGCGCCACTGAAGCAGCGATTAAGAGGGTCCTGAGTGCCGGCCTCCCGCAAGATTGAGCAATCCAGTCGCCCGGTGCAGCCCTCGATGCCGGCGTCCGTGCATTGCTCGCATGCTGGATGACAGGCAAGACACGCCATCGGCACGACGGGCAGGATGGTGGGCCGCGGGATTTCCGACCCCGACACGGTGGACCCCACCGGCCAGGATGAGGCGGCCGAAGAGTGGCTGTCGGTGGCATTCTCCGACTGCGACAGCAGGCCCACATCGGCCCATGGGGCCTCCAGATCGTAGGACCCATAGAAGCCCTTCGGGCATTCCGGCAGACAGGACACCAGCTCGGGATTCTCAGTCGAGGGCAGCCGGAAGAAGCCGTCAAAGCAAGTGAGGCACATTGGCGACGTCGTCGGGATGGGCACCCCATCCACCGAGACGCCAAATACACAGGACCGGCAGCCCGACGGACAGGGCACACACGCGCCCGTGTGAATGTCAATCCCGAAGCCAGGCTCACACTCATCCTCGCAGGAAATGAGCTCATGCTCGCCAGCGATGTCCACGGCCGCCAGGGCCATTTCGCCGAGTTCGCTCTCGGGAAGAAGCCTCTCCCGCCGGAGGCCCTCGATCACCATGCACGAGGGCATCGACGCACGAGCCTCCACGCTGCGCCTGGCCGCCAGCAACTTCCGCTGCTGCCCACACTGGGTGCAAGTGCTGGCGCAAATCCGACACCACCCAGGCAAGGTCAGGGGGACCTGGCCCGGAGGACAGGTCGAGCCACAGGTGCCCCATGGACCGGCCCCACGCCGGGCGCCCAGCTGACACTCGAAGCAATCGAAGACCGGATGCGGCCCCCGACAGCTGTGGCAATGCGACGGACAGGAAATGCAATGCCGCTTGATGGGCTCCACAAAGTAGCCAGTCGGGCAGTCCTGCAAGCAAAGGCCAGCCATGCCCGGCGGAGCATCAAGAGGCTTCAGGTCCAGCAGATTGCGCCCGGGAATGCAGGACTGACACTGGCTCGCGAGCGGCCCGTAGCAGGTCATACAGGCCCCATGGCATGGCTGGCAGACTGGAGTCGCGCCGGTCGAAGAGCCGCCAGCATTCTTCGGCAGGAAGAAGCCCGGCCCGCAGGAGGGCCGACAGGTGCCCGATTGCAGGACGAACCCCGGATCGCAAGAAAGACATTCCCGATTGGAAGGACCGCTGCAGGAGGCACAGAAGGGATAGCAGGAGAAGCACGCCTGCGTGGTCGTTGAATTACCGCCGCCGCCGCCGCTGCTGCTGCTGCTGCTGCTGCTGTCGCTGTTGGCCCCGCCGCCACTATCGCCATTGCTCCCATCGTCAATGCTGCCACCGGTGGGGGAGACGAAAAAGCCACTGGAACAGGCATTCACACAGGAGCCCTCCTGCAGGAAATCCGTCGGGCTCTCGCAGGAGAGACACTCCGCAGATTGGGCGCCAAAGCAAGAGCCGCAACCCGTCGAGCAGCTCGCACACACGGCTCCGCGCGCGAACCTCCGCGGACCACAATCAACCACACATTGGCCAACTGCCGGCCCCACGGTGGGGGTCAGATTGGAGCTCAGGAAGAAGCGCCCCCGCTGGCAGGCAGTGCAGTCCCCGGGGCCGGGACCGATGCATGAAAGGCAGCTACTGTGACAAGCCTGGCAGCCGCGTGTCGAGGCGGGCTCCGGTCCGGGATCTGCCTCAAGGACAACTTCGAACCACCGGATGGGCGAGCAGGCCGAAATGCACATGGAGTCCTGCAGGACACTGCCAGCGGGGCAGGACGTGCACGTTGTCAACCGGGAGGATGTGCACCGCAGGCAGGAGGAATGGCAGGGCAGGCACACGGCCAGGCCGCCATCCACCCCACCGGACTCCGGGGATGCCGAGGCATATGTCCGGCTGGGGCACGACTCAAGGCATGACCCCATCAGCAGGTGGTCCGGATTCGGGACTGTCTGTTGGAGTTCGGGCGAATAGAGCAACAACCCGGAGCCAGCGCGACAGGAAAGACACTCCTCCGGGTCCGGTCCGAGGCATTCCCCGCAAGTACCATGGCAGGGCGCACACGAACCATCAAGGCCCATGAAATGCCCGGAGGGACAAACATCCTCCGACATGCAGGTGCCCGACTCGGCAAGCTGATAGCCCAGCCGGCAGCTGGTGCATGCGCTCGAGGTCGGGCCCACACATGTCTTACACAGTGGGTGACATGGCTCGCAAATGCCCGCCTCGGCATCCAGGAAGAAGCCCGAATGGCAGGCCTCCACGCAGAATCCCTGCTGAAGCACCTTGCCATCGGGACAACTTGTGCAGCTGTCGGCCGCCAAGCCGGAGCACGTCCGGCAGGACGCATCACATTCGGCACAGGCAAAGCCACCCTGCTCCGGCGAGAGTGCCAGCAAAACATGCCCGTCGGCACATTCGAGACATGTGCCCAGGGTCGTTGAGGAGGAGCACCTGACACAGGCCGGCCCATCGGCACAGGGGGCACACACAGCCATGTCGTCGGGGCCCGAGCCGCCGAACAGCGACTCCTCGAAGGTGGCCGGGGTCGGCGGGGCCATGCCATCTGCACAGTAGGCCGCGCAGACCAGCCCATCACGCAGGAAGCCCGGCGCGCAGCCGATGCAATCCCCCGGGCCCGGGCCCGCACACCCGGTGGTCGAGTCACATGTGGCATGGCACTCGGCGCAGACACCGGTTTCCCCGTCGCCGAGCAAGCCGCGACTCTTGTCCAGGAAGGCCCCAGTCCAGCAGGAAAGACACTGACTCGGGTCCGACCCGGAGCATGTCCGACACCGGGTGTTGCAACGCTGGCAGACGTCCACACCGCCGAGCTCCCGCGGAAGGGTGGCCGGCACGAAGAACGACGCGGCCGAGCACTGGGCCACACAGTAGCCATCCTCCAGAAGCAGCCCCTCGCGACATTGCATGCATTCTTGGCCATCCGGCGAGCAGGCGGTGCAGTCATCCCCGGCCATGCAGAGGACACACGCTCCAAAGCGGTCGCCCCACACCGGCGTGAACCCGGGATAGCATTCGCAACTTTCCTGGTCCGCCGTGCAAGTGGCCCCAGACGGGCAGTTGCAATGGACACCGGCCGTCCACAGGATCAGCCCCGAGGGGCTGCTCGGCCCATTGTCCAGCGACGAGGAGGAATCACTGAAGGTGCGCATTGAGTGGCTGGCTTGATCGCCCAGCAGCGAGGCACTCTGCAGGGTATAGGCCGCGGAAAGGCGCATGGCATGCATCGAATCGGAGCCACTGCCCCCCTTGAGACCGGCAAGCAGCTCCATGCTGGTACGACGTGTGATGTAGATCTCCGGCACCCCATCGCCATTGAAGTCCCCGATGGAGATGGCCCCTGTGGGCGACGAAAAGCGCCAAGTGTTCAGGAAGACAGGCGCATCGTTGAGTGCCGCCTGGAAACGCTCCTCCGGGGTGGTCGCCTCCGCGGCAGATGTCGATGCCGCGGCACCGGCCGAATCCCGAGCCAAACCGGCCGCCGAGTCCTCCCGTAGGAAGAGCCCCCATGGCGAGGGCGTGGCCGCATGCGGGTCGATGAGGATTTTGTCAAAGCGCCGTGGGATCCCCTGGGCCAGGAAATTCTCATACACCACCAGGTGCCCCTGCTCGGTGAGGACCACCAGATCGATGTCTCCATCGCGATCCAGGTCGGCCAGTCGCACGGACCAGGGGGCCTCGCTCCATGCCTGCTCGATGATGAAAGCCGGCGATGGGGACAGGCGACATTGGAGATCCATGCATTCTGGCGACCAAACCCCCAGAGTGGGGACATTTCGGCCAACCAGAACCAGCAACAAGTCCGGCCGGCCGTCGCCATCCAAATCATGCGTCCCATCCAGCGACACGACATTCGGATAGAAAAGCGGCACGCCCAAAGGCGCCACCAGAAACTGGCTATGCTGGGTGGCGATGGCTGCCACCAGTCCCAGGCGGCTGGGGCCCGTCGATGTGGCTGACCGCCCCTGCCAGGGGGCATTGGCATCCAGCAGGAAGATGACATCCCCCCGGGGAGCCAGGCCGGCGCCTTCGGCAGAAGTGAATGCCGTGCGCCCGACCGACAGGGCTGCATCTGACCCGGGAAGCGCCCCGTAGCCCACCAAACGCCCCCAGCTGAGCCGGACCATGAAGAGATTCGGCCGGGCCCCGGGCGAAGCACCAAGTTCCACGTCGAAATCGTGCGTCGGCACGCTGATTATGGCCAGGGGATCGCGCGTCGGTGCTCCGGCAACCGCAACCCGCGCCCCGGGCACCGCAAAGCCCCGGATGGTGGCCGACGCCGGGCGCGACATGTTGATCACCGTGCCCTTGAGGCCGCTGCGTTGGCCATTGGCCCGGGGCACGGGCGTCGAGTAGTAGATCACAGTCGTCTGGAAGGGGTCCGCCTCGGGGTCGGTCAGCGGTGGAGACCCACTCCCGAGGGCAATGCGCCGCGGACGCAGAACCAACAGCACGCCGATGGCATCGAACCCCGGGGAAAGGCCCAAGGCCGGGACCAATTGCAGTTCCGACAGCTGGCCACCGAGCACCACCTGCCGGGGCTCCGACCAAGTCAGCCCGCCGGCGCTGTCCGTTTTGGCTGACACCTGAAACAGCCGGCCCTGGATGTCAACCATGAAATAGGAGTCCCGATCGGCGAAGACAAAGCCAATGTCCGGGTCCCAATGCAGAGGGAGAATCCCCGTGTCCCGGAGTCCAAACATTGACCCGGGCCAGGGGGAGTCCAACCGCAAGGGGACATTCTTCTGGTCGATCGGCTTGCACCGGCCGCGGATGACCGACCATGCTTCGCCGGCCGGCCCCGGCCCCGGCCCCGGCCCCGGCCCCGGCGCCGAGGAAGAGGAAGATGTGGCCGAAAGGGCGCCAGACGGGATGTCCGGCAGAAGGGCGGCCGCTTGCTTTCGCAGGGCCTCCATGATGGGCGAACTGTGGATCGGATTTCTCAGCTGGCCGGCCTGCTGGAGCAGCTTGCGCGAGTGTGTCGGGTATAATTCGCTTGGTGGGGTTTCCTCGAGATCACAAGTCCTGGAACAAACACCATCCGCCCGCAGAACCAGCCCCGGGGCACACTGATAGCAAATGCCCGTTCCGTCATCGCGGCAGTCCAGGCAGTCTTCCGGGCACCGGCGGCAGACTGGTACAGCAGCCGACAGGAGTTCCGGCCGTGTGACAGGGACACATGTCCGAGGAAATGGGCCCGGCAGAGGGAGGAAGGGACACCGGAAGTTAGCGCATGATGGGGCAGAGGATGATGGCACTTTGGGGGTCGGAAGCGAAAGAAGGACAGATGCCAGGCGGGAGGAGGAGCATTCGCACATGGGAAGACACCCGATCCCGGGGCACAGGCCCGGCAATAGCCGGTGAAGTTGTGGATGAACTGCTCGCTGGCACAGGCGCAGGGAGCCCAGAAGTCCGGCTCATGCATGGCCGGCGGTGGCCATGTGCTGGGAACATCGGCACATGTGCCCCCCGCACCGCAGCCACACCCGACCAGTGTCGAAGACCGGCTATACACCTCCACCGAGTGCCGGCCCCGCAGAGATACCACCAACTCGGCGAAGCCATCGCCATCGAGATCCGCCGCCCAGAAGGCCGTGATCGACAGCGGCGGCTCGTGGCCCTCGGCCGATAGGCGCTCGAACACCGGCGGCCGAAAGCCGACAGGTGCCTCGCTGAAAAGCATGGCATTCGTCTGGAAGATGGCATTGCTCGGCCGCTGGGGAAGCACCGCCAGTGGCCGGCTCAAAAACAGTCGGATGCGCGCCTGGCCCCACCCGACAAACAAGTCGGCCACACCATCGCCATCGGCATCGGTGGCCACCAGGAAGGCCCGCTCCACCGGGAGCACGGTGTCCAGGGGGAATTCAAACGCCAAGGCGCCCAAATCCACAAGCCTGGAGTCACCGGTTTCGGAGAAGAGATTGCGCAGAAGACGAATCGGCCGCCGGGGAGCCGCAACCGGAGGGAAGTTGTTTGTCGGCCAGCCGGGCGGCGGCGGGGTGTCCGCCAACAATGCCCCACGTTGCGAAGGGGTTTGGGGCGCCGCGACGGGCATCTCCGACCAGGTGGCCAACAGGGCCACATCCATGTCGCCATCGCCATCAAAGTCCCCGGCCACCAGGGCATGGATGACGCCATTGGTGAAGGTGATCAAGCGAATGGGCCGCACCGAGCCATTGGTCGAGGGCTCCGTCGAACCAAGGAGGGGCGCCGGGATGTGCCACAAAACATGCGAGGTCCCACAATCCAAGGGCCGAGGCTCGGTCACCTCGGCACAGCTGACCACCAAAAGATCATCCAGGCCCGACCCGGGGACCAGCTCCACGGCCAGCGTGCGCAGGACCACCGAGGGAATGGAAAAGAGGCTTTGACCACCGGGCGAGAGGAAGATCGACACGGTGTTCCGCTCGATGACCGACAACGGGGTCAGGCGATCCGGCAGGGAGAAGCGCCCAGATACCACATACCGGCGGGCGGACTGCACCATTTCCCCCCGGGGCAGGTGCATCTGCATGCCCTCACGGTGAATGTGCACCAAGTGCGGAAGAGGCAGCGGATTGACCCGAGAGCTTTCCGCCTGCCCGAGCCAGCGGATGGCCCCTGTCGGGTCCACCCCGAGCGACGTCCCGAACAGCGTGGTCCCGGACACCGACAGGCGGAATTCCGGCCAATTGACCAGCCCCTCGGTGTCGCAGGCCGAGCGCCGAGTGACCTCGGCCACGGAAGTGTGGTTGGGGCCTGTGCCCAGGAAGAGCCGCGAAGGGCCGGACCCGGGCTCGGAAACGTCGCCAATCGGATGGAAGATCGGGTAAGAAGCAATGCTCACCCGGCGCATTTGAGCCGACAACGGGCCAAAGGCCAGCTCTGTCACCGGCGCGATGGACCGCATCTCGGTGACCCAGGAGAAGGAGCCAACATCGACCGCCTGAATCGGGCACAGGGGCAGCTCATCCGAGGCATCTTCGGAACTGCCACCACCAGGACCAGGGCCCAGAGAGGGCTCGGAGCCCGGGACAGGCATGGTGAAAGAGCCAGCTTCCGGACCAGACCCGGGAGGGGGACCGGAGCGGGAGCCGGGGCCGGAGCGAGAGCCGGAGCCAAAGTCGGAACTGGAACTGGGGCTGGGGCTGGGGCTGCTGCTTGAGTCAAGATCAGTCGGGCTGCCATCATGACTGCCAGCAAGCTTGGTATGCTGATCGGCACTGCCAGTGGTCTCGGGGGTGTGGGGGCCGCCACGCGCGCCACCAATCGCATGGTCGGTGTCGCCGATCGGATTTCCCATGCTGCGGGACCCTGAACCGGGCCAGCTGCCGGACGAGGTGGCCGGGTCGGAGGTGGGCAAGGAAGCCCTGGCGACCGAGCTGGGGATGCTTTGCGGACGCGATGCCGCGACAACACGCATCTTGGACTTGGACCAATCCCGCGACTTGACCGACCAGGGCCGACAGGGGACGCCAGACCCACTGGATGAGGAAGAGCTGGCATCTTGCGAACTACCATGCATGGATGGCTCTCCCGGGGATGGTGAGGGAGAGGCAGATAAAGCGCCACTCGAGTTGGAAGTAGCAGCCGGAGTGGCCATGCCAGACGTGGTAGTGGCATTTGAAGGGGAAGACCTTGAGGAGGCTCCGGCAACTTGAACTCCGACTGGCTGGTTTCCATGCCAAGCAGTGGCCGGGCCGGGAGCCGCAGCTGTGGTTGATGCGCACACGCCGACCGCATAGTCGAAGCCATCGGGACAGGTGGTTGCCTCGATGCAGTGACCACCCGCCAGCAGGAAGCCCTCTTGACACCAGAGACAAACCCCGGGGAAGCGCCGGTCACATGTGTGACATCCCTCGAAACAACGACTGGTACAGGCTATCGAGAGGAGGGGTTATCATGCTTTGTGTCAGATGGGGGGGGGAGAAGGGGGAGAAGGGGGAGAAGGGGGAGAAGAAGAAAAAGAAGAAGAAAAATAAAAAGGAGACGATGATGATGATGATGATGATGATGATGATGATGATGATGATGATGACGCACCTGTGCCAGCGAAGCCCGGGCGACAAAACTCACACCTGCCCACCGAGTCATGTTGAATGTTGGCCGCGCAAGCGCACACATTGCCATCCATAGAAGGGTAAGGATAGAGCCCGGCATCCAGAGACGTCGGCCAGCGACAGCCACCGGAGGCACCGCAATCGCAAAGAGCTCCACTTGAGGTGGCGACTGCCAGGGCCGCCTCGGTGGCTGGCACCAACACCACAACCAGCGTCTCGCTGTTGGCCGTATTGAGGAGAGTCGATGCGTTGGAGAAGAAAGGCATTGGATGGATGAGGGGGCTTTCAACGGGCAGACGTGAAAACCCGAGCACCACCTCCGCATGCCCATCCCCATTGAGGTCCAACACCTCCATCCAACGGACTGGCGAGAGGGCCAAGCGATCGCGCACGACCGGCGGAAGGGTCGCACGGGTCCAGGCCCGCCCGGAGGGAGTGAGCTCTGCCGGGCCAGCGGCCGGCATCTGTGCCAGCGGACCCAGGAAGTAGCCCAATTCGCCGGACGCACAGAGGACCACCACATCGACCATGCCATCGGCATTGACGTCTGCCAGCCGGACCCATCCCACACTTGTCAGGCAGGGAACCGGCAATGTGTGAAGCGAGTAGTGCGGCTGGGCGTCGGGGGATCCGCACGCCCCGGCCAACAGGGCCGACAGAGCAAGCTTGCCCCCGGAGCCGGAGGTCAGAAGCACAAAGTCCGCACAGGGGGATGGCATGGAACCCCCATCGAGCTTGGTCAGATGAGCTGGCCGGGCAAACACGACCGACTGCGCCTCCAAGGGAAGAGTGAACAACACCTCCGGCGGGAAGTCCATCGTGGTGGCTGGAGACGAAGCCACCACGGATGTACGCAACCGCAAGAGCTTGATGGGTGTGGTGGCTGACGGCCGATGGCGCAACATGACCAGCAAGTCCGGGTCGCCATCCCCATCGGTATCAGCCGAGGACAGCCAAATCCCCTCCGGAGGAGGCCGGGACTCAGAGGCGGAGGGGGAGATTGAAAATGTGGCTGGCCCATCTGCCGATGAGGCCGGAGAACTGCCCGCCGAAAAGCCAGACACCGAGGAGGAAGCCGACTCGAAGGAGGACCCGGGGACATGGCTCGAGGGTGCCCCAGATGAGGAGGACGAGAAGGAGAGAGAGGAAGAAGAGGCGCCCGATGAGGATGCGGCAGCTGATGAAGAAGAGGCGCCCGATGAGGATGCGGCAGCTGATGAAGAGGAGGAAGCAGCCGGTGAGGAAGCAGCAGCTGATGATGAGGAGGAAGCAGCCGGTGAGGAAGCAGCAGCTGATGATGAGGAGCCAGCCGGCGAAGAGGCGTCTGCCGTTGAGGAGGAGGCAGCCAATGAGGAGGAGGCAGCTGGCGAAGAGGCGTCTGTCGACGAGGCATCTGCCGGCGGGGAGGAGCCTGTCGAGGAGGCATGTGAGGAGTGTGGCGCGGATCCGGTCGAGGAGGTGGAAGTGTCCGAAAAAGAGCCGGAGGTAGAAAAGGAGGCAGATCCCTGTCCAGGCGGGGCTGACTTGGCGGCTGGCCATCCGAGCTCGGGCCGCAGGACCAAAGGGATGTCAGCAGCCCATGATGCGGTCGTGGAAAAGGGCCGTCCGGGTGTCACCATTGGCAGGACCAGATCCCGAAAGAGGACCAAATGCCCCGAGGAAGAGGTGATGCCAACGAGTGCTGTCAGGCGCTTGGAGGCCGACCCGAAAAGGGCCACCGGCTGCTGGTCGACAGCCTGAAAGAAAACGAGATCCTCCTCCGGAAGCCAGAACGAGGGCATCACATCGAAGGAAAACCGGCATTCGGCCATCAGGGCCACCCGGATCGGGGAGTTGGATGCATGCGCGGTGGATCGAATGACAAACACCGAACGCGAGTCGCTCCAGGGGTGCTCATCCAAACCGGCGATGCGGAGGGAGGGCGCGTCGCCACCGACGGCAGAAGCCCCGGCAGCCTGACTCAGGGGCAGCCCGGCCGGACAGCCCGCCGCCGGCACAACACCCGGTCCGGGACTCGAACTGCCATGGGCCGGAGGGGGTGTCCCGGGGGGGACCGATGCGGCGAGCCGTAGCCAGGGCCCGGTGGCCAAGGAGGCGGTCGATCGCCAGGGCAACACCGGGGAGGCATGCATCAAAAGCCCGGCCACGGTGCTGCCTGCCTCGAAGCATAGCTCCAGCGTGCCGTCCGCGCGCATGGCGGACCCGTGCCAGGTGTGCCAGGCGTCCACCGGGATCGGCGCATCGGCTGAGTAGGATGCCGGTACGAAGGATGTGGCGCTCAGCAGGAACTCAATCCCCGGATTTGGGGAAGTGCTTGTCCGTGTCGAGCGCGAGCGCGGAGGCCCCGGCTCGGCTCCGGCCCCGGGGGCCAACAATAGAAATAAGAGAAAAACCCCGATCAAACCGACACCCGGGCGAGATGCCAGTTGGGGGGAGAGGTGGCACCGCCGCCGGCCAGCATGTGGCCTAATCGGCGGCTCGAGGCCAGCCGAGGCATTACGGGAAACCATGGTAGCCAGTCAGGGCGGCGGGCGCATAGCACTGCACGAAGTAGGACTGGTGAGAATGAAAGCAAGGGGAGGAGAAGAGAGGGGAGGGGAGGAGAGGGGGAGAGACACAGAGAGACACAGAGAGACAGAGAGAGAGAGAGAGAGAGACAGAGAGGAAAAGAAGCCGCGAGGAAAAAGGGGGGAAGGTGAATGGAGGCCCAACACCTGGGGAACAGGCGGGCAGCGGGGAGGGCGAACCATCACAGGCTGCTCGGGCAGCAACGGGTAGGACGAACGGAGTGGAGGAGTCCAGGGAGCCAGAGAATGCGATCCGGCGATCGGGAGGAGAGGGCGCGGGTGGATGGGGCCGAGGAGCAATGGGGGAGGGGAGAAGAGAGGGGGAGCAGGAGGAGGAGGAGCGGGAAGATGGGGGGATGATCGGAAGGGAAGGAGAAGTGAGGGAGATGGGTTCTGGTGTCTGCGGACTTCGGAAAACCTGGCCTCTGCCCAGACAGGCATCTGAAGGGTGACGAAAAGCAGGCCCTCGCGGCGGGGCGGCGGAAGGCCCGGAAGATGTTGTGGGCGCGGAGACCATCCCGTCCTGGGGGGGGGGGGGGG